CTGAAAGAACTAGAAATTGGCCTTCCATATGACCCAGTAATTCCCCTATTGGGAATATACTCAGAGGAACTCAAATCATTCTACAAAAAAGATACCTGCACACGTACGTGTGCTGCAGCTCTATTCACAATAACAAAAAGATGGACCCAACCATGTTGCCCATAGAAGCTGGACTGGATTAAAAATATGTGGTACATATACAATAGAACATTATGCAGTCATAAAGAAGGACAAACATATGGACTTCGCAGCAACTTGGATGGATTTAAAGTAGATCATACTTGGTGATCTGTCACAGAAATAAAGAACAGAGTACCATATCTTCTCACTCATAAGTGAAACTTGAACAATTATAATACTATAAGAAAGCTATTGGCAGTAGTAAGAAACTGTCAGGGGAGGGGGGTGGGATTGACAGTTGAAGGAAACTGCTAGGGGAGGAAGGGGCATACCTCATCAACAAGGGTACCTGCATAATCAACGTTTGTATACCTAACCCTGAATTGTAACCCACATCTTTATAATAAAATAATAATAATAAAGAACATACATACTATCAAACTTAGCTGTCACCTAGTCTGAAAAGAGGGTGATATATTAGTTTGACAGAAATAACATATAGAAAGGTTTATGCTCTCACAACCAATCAGCAAACAAGCAGACAGACACAGAGAAAAACCTAAAATGTGATGAAATTCATTTCTAAGCAAACCATTTAGCTGAATAAAGACTCTTGTTTCATTCATTGATTCATTCCCAAGTCCTTACTGAGTACCTACTATCAATCACATGTTTGTAGGGTACAGCAGTAAACAAACCCTGCCCGCATGAAGCATGTCTATGTCTGGGGGTGAAACAAACCACAAACATGGTGACAGATAAACAGACATCACACAATTGAGCATGTGAATTATAAAGAAAAACAACGCAAGAAAAAGTGTTCAGAAAAGAATGAGAGGGCCAGACTCGGTGGTTCTGCCTGTAATCCCAGCACTTTGGGAGGCCGAGGTGAGTGGATTACCTGAGCCCATCAGTTCGAGACCAGCGCCAGCAACTTGTTCCTCATCTCTACAATAAAACAAAAATTAGCCCGGCGTGGTAGTGCGCGCCTGTAGCTCCGACTACTTGGAAGGCTGAGGTGGAAGGATCGCCGGAGCCCAGCAAGTCGATACCGGGGTGGCCATGTGTATGCCACTGCACTCCAGCCTGGGTGACAGAGTGAGACTCCAACTCAAAAAGAAAAGAAAAGAATGAGAGAGGATAGAGGTTCTGTTTTATAAAGAGTAGACAAGGAAGTCAAAAAATAAAATAATTCTATTTCTTTACTCAAACTCATCATTTCTCACCTCCTCTACCACCATCCACCTTCTCCTTTGGATTTTCCCCAAAGACATAAGTATTTGAAGTGTTTATTTTTTCAAACAGAAGAAGAGATTTAAAATTTCCTTCTTCTGCTTTCATGTGTAAGGTACACTAAATCTGTGAATCTGGGAATCTTTATTCCTGAATTGTACTCCACATTTTTAAAATAAAATTTAAAAATTTAAAATAAAAAAAAAGTAAAAACAAAGGAAGCATTTCAGGAATCTCCCTCTCATGTTAATAGTATCATTCTTTTCACCTCATTAGGTAGTAAGCTTCATGAAGGGAGGGTCAAAACTCATTTTGTTCATTTTGTATCCTTAATGCTTAGCACAGCACCTGGTCTTAGGAAGTATTCATTCAATGTAAGTTGAATAAATTGATTCTATCCATGGGCCACTCCTTGTTTCAACCAGTTCTTTCTGGAAAATCAACCAACCCTGTCATCGGTGCCCTCCTGACTGGCCTCCTTTTCTTTTCTTTTTTTATTTTATTTTATTTTAAGGATGAGTAGTACAATTCAGGGTTAGGTATGCAAATGGTCATTGCACAGGTAAAGTTTGGGACTCACTTAGGTCTCCATGTCACCTGGTTTGAGATCAGGTACCCTTACTGATGAAGTGTGCTCCCCCATCCCCCACTGCCCCCGTCCCCCCGATCCCGGCAGTTTCCCACTACTGCCAATCCCTTTCTTATAGTATCATGATAATTGTTCAGGGTCCAGTTGCCTTTTCTATGAAGTTTTCTTTGACTCACTATCCACATGTGAGGTCAACACTTATGCACTTCTGTGGCATGTTCCCTCTCTTAAGAATTCTCATTCCTGAACCCTCTCTGAGACCATTGTGAGCCTGAGATGGTCCCAGCTCTCTTAAGAGCTCAAAATTTCTGGCAAGGTAACTGACTAGCCATTGAGTTGCCAGAGTATGTACTAGATCTTGAAGAGACTCTTGGACACTTCTTGTATTTTTATTTATATTAAAATTATTATGGCACTTTTTTTTTATCTTTCTAGATACATTCACAAGGGAAGGAACTGCTTTGCACCTTTTTAGAAATGCTCACAATAATTATTAAAATCTCTAACCACAGTAGATATCCTTGTGTTGTACTGAAATAAATCCATCTACTACTATCCTTAAAAATATAATCAAGTAAAATGTTTATATTCCAAGAGCCCCAATTCTTGAGTTTTAATGTAAACTCAGACTCAATAATTCACTTATTCTCAAAATATGTACTGAGTGTCTACATGATATCAGTAAAACAATGGCAAAAAAACAAGAAATGCTGAGACCTTTAGAAGATTCCAATCCAGTAGAGATGTGCAGATTGACCATTATAGCGTGGGTGTGACAGCAGTTAAAACTGAGATACCCAACAGAACTGAAGGGGACCAGGAGACAACCATACACTCGGCTGTGGGAGGGGAATGCTGCCTTTGCTATTTGAGTCCAATCAAAAAATATAGAAGGAGTGTGTCTGGGAGAGAAAGGCAGAGGTATGGAAAGTCATATGCCGTTTAGTGATCCATGAAGGTGTAGGATTTGGGGAGGTGAGAGCGTAAGCTGAAATGTTCACTGGGGTGGAGATGGAACTGGAAGGACAAGTTGGAGGCCAGTTTTGAAAGGTTTTATCAACAAAGGTACCTGCATAATGAACATTTGTATACCTAAGCCTGAATTGTACCCCACATATTTAAAATTAAAAAAAAATTTTTTAAGTGTTGACAGAAGAAAGATCTGAAAAAGGAAGACTGAAAGCTGAAGCAATTCATGAATCACAAGTAAAAGTCAATTATCTATTTAAAAAAAGAAAGGCTTTGTAAACCTGCCTAAGGAGTTAAGGATATGGTATCAGTGATCAGACACCTCTGAAGGGTTTTCACACAGGAGAGGCACTATCAGATATGAATTGTATGATTTTAACTGACATCCTGGGTTGTGAGGGAAAGGCTGGGGCAGTAGTCCAGAGAGAGAGGTAATGCCCAGAGTGACTCCATGCAGTTTTCTTCTGCACAGACTCTGATCTGAGAGCCAAAGAGACAGGAGGTTTTCTCTCCCAGCACCCCCTGTGCCAGAAGAGGTCACCCCTACCTGCATGCCTCAGTGACCTGGTCCAGACCTCGACGCTACTCCTGAACCTCCTGATTCCTCCCAGCCATGCAGGAAGTTACTAGAGGGTAATGGTCATGTCTCATCAGAATTTTTCAATTGTAAGTGGCACTGATAATCACAGTAAACACATATACAACAGTTCCTCTGTGCAGGCCCTCTTCTAAGTTCTCAATATATATTGACACACCTACAACCCTACAAAATTGGTGCTGTTGTTATTCCCATTTTACACATGAGGAAACTGAAGCATACACAGATTAAGAACTAAAAATGACTAACAGTTACTGAGCACTTATCCTGGGCTGACATAATTCTAATCCCTTCACTTGTATGAAATTATCTAATCCTCACTGCAACTCTATGATACAGGAGGTTTGACAGTCCACATCCTACAGGTGGGAAAACCAAGGCGAAGGGTAAGTAACTCATCCAAAGTTAAATAGCAAGTTAGAGGAAGAGGCAGGGCTTAAATCCTGGCAGTCTGCTCTTCAGCCTGGGCTCTTAGTCATCACGCTAGAAACAAAGTAGAAGACCACACAAATCACTTGAATTAATCAGTGAGAGGAGCTAGCCAGAAGCTGCAGACAAGTGAGCATACCCATCCTGAACAGAGATCCTCTCAGGCTGTCTGTCACCTGGCCCTCCTCTGCTGTGGTGATGCTGGTCCAGGACCCACAGACTTTCAGCTTTCCTTCTCTAGAAGTTACCCTATAGTAAATGCCACTGGAGTATGCAAAGCTCGTGCCTGCACCTTTGGAATGACAGTCCGCTGAGGAGTCCCAGTCTCATATGGCAGAGTGGATTACCTGGTACCCACAGATGTGTTGCATCAGGCAGTCACACATGGCATTACTGGTCAGGACCAAGTGCAGAACTTTCACAGCTGCATACATCATGTGGTCATCTGTCGCTAAGGAGATGAGACCCAGGAGAATGGCAGGCCCGCCAATGAAGTCCAGGCTGCTGGCAGCAGGGCTAGAGTGGAACACTCTCACCCCTGTGCAGGACAAAGGGGGCATTTCATTAGAATATCACAGCTTCATTGCAGTGGAAAACCCCTGGCAGGCTACAAGGGCAAATGAGCTGCCAGTGCCACCATCCACCCACAGCCAGAGAGACCTGTGCACCTGGGACAGGCTGGAAATCTTAGGTAGCTGAGAGAGCCTGTGCTGAGTCCTTTCTTGGTCATCACATAACTGAAACAGCCCAGAGTATTTCAGATTGCTGCAGCCTCCAGAGTTCTGGATAAGCCAAACACACCTATAAGCCTCGGTTTCCTGATTGACTGTTCTGACAACCACTGGCTCTTGCCTGTCCTCTAGATCTTGCAGGCTAGAACTTTGCGCCAACTTGTTGCTTTGCTATTGAACGACTGGCAATTTTCACTCAAACAACCCCAGCCAATGCCTCTTCTCAAAGTCCCCACTGTGCTTACTAGATAGATAGGCTCCTGTTGTGCATAGAGGTCAGCCTGGATAGTAGCTGAATTCATTACCAATCATCAGATGTGAGCAAGTGAATTGATACCTACAGTCTCTTTGAGGCCAACTCTGACTTTACTCTCAACTCTGGCCCTCGCCACGCTAGCCGCCAGCATGACCCATTCTGCCTGCCACTCCAGAACCCCAGGGCACACAAGCTGTGACAGTACGAGTCCTGCTTCCCAAGTTCTAGTAAGTGTTCCAGCGTGACCTACCTAATTGACCCACAGCAACAGCTCCAATGGTCCGCAGAGAACCCAACAGGTGGCCAGCACAATTTCTCAGCAAGAACACAGGCACAGCATTGTCACGGGATGAAATGTTCATCTAGGGAAATTAGCAACAGTTAGTCCTAAGAAAATCCTTGAAAAGAAGAGATGTCCATCAGCGATGATCAGTGAATGAATAGTAATTGAATAAATGTCAGGGGACTGAAGCCTAAATTCAGGCTCATGGATCCTGCCTCCCAGGCAGTGGCTTCATTATAAGTGAGTAGCTTCGATTACATAATCAGAGTCACTAACGTCCCACATGCTCACAGTGAGGCTCTAATGAGACCAAGAACCCAAGAACTTCTTCAGGTGAAACAATGCCACTAAGGCCAGGGCTGCCACTAGTTCAGTTTAGTATTGTCCAGGTTCTGCAATCCCAACCTCTACAAGTTTCAGAGAGGCCGGAAGACAGAAATTCTGGTGTTCTCTATCAGCAAGTATGTTGCTAGAAAGGCACAGCTTTGATGATCAACAGGACTTAGCTCCTGATCACCTCCACCATGCTCTAGGGGATCCTCTGCCCAAGAGGGTAAAGAGAATATAAACAAAGCAACCAAAATTCATCAGCACTAAGCAAGAGATCTTTATGCAGAAATTAGAAAGTAAATCCAGTAGCATCCTCATCTACAAACATGTATGCCTTTGCAATTTTGCTGGGTTTTTGTTGTTGTTGTTGTTGTTTAGAAAGCAGGATTTATTGAGAAAACAGAAAAGTTCCCACAGTGGGAGGGGACCTGAGGGGGTTGCCCAAGTTTGCTGTTTTTTAAAAAAAAAAAACTCAGCATTTTTTAGTGATAGTGCATCATTAGCACCCAGGCAAAGGAAATCTCAACAGTGTTCTCCATGTCTCAAAGATATTGAAAGTATTCCATTTGTTGTTTCTCTATGATGAACAGCACACACTTTCTTCTCTAAACAATTATAAATAAAAGGTTGACTCTTGGGGATGCTAGTGGATAGGGAAGCACAGAATATTTTAACAAAGGAAATGGGAAGCATGCATGTATCCATCTACTTGTGTACAAACACGAATTAGTGTTTATTCGAGCACTGAAAACTGAGGCCAGCCATGAGATGAAGACTCCAACAGGGAGCAGTAACTAAAGTTAGAAGATGTACCTCTTTGGCAATCAGGCGGCTATCCACCTCATTGTAAGTATTTCTGATGTCTGCTACATTGGTGATGGAGGAACTGGCTATGTGAAGTCCAAAGGAAATCTTTTCCTCTGCAACAAGAGGCATGGCTTCACTGTCCAGGTCCTCTCCTGTAACAACAATGTCTTTAATCATTTTTAGTCTCACTTTATAGAGAAAAAAGTTAATCTTCAGATGACTAAATATCTCTGTCACACAGCAAAGTAATCACTGAGAGGATGTTTTTATGTTGTCAGTTGCATGTTTTTGCATGTTGTATGTTTGTAAATCATGTTTTGCTTCTCTGATGCTTATAGAAAACTGTGGCAAAATCTCCAAAGACTGCTCTTACTATAAAATAGAGGCATCCCAGGTGTACATTACCAAAGCTTAAAACATCTATCAAGTAAATAACCTCACTCCCAAAACAAAACTGCTAAGTGACAAGAAAGCTGACTTATAAAAAAAGAAAATGGACTGAGCTGAATGGCCTGATTTTCAATGAGTTGCACAGCCATTACAAACATCCAAATTGGACTTAGCACACCTATACCGACTCAACAAGAGCCAATGAGCTACTAGAGAAGAATGGCAGAAATATACAGTCAGTGAAATTTTGGCTCTAGACCTGACCTCATCCCATGGCTTTGACCACTGCCTTTGATGTAGAAAGTGAAGTTCAAGAAGAAAGCCCTCGGCAGTGCTCAATGGCCCTTCACCACACATAGGCCTCTGTACAGGGCTCTGTACATAGATTCATTTACTATTCTTTCCAGATAGGAGTTGACCTCCTTGATTTGACAGAGCACAGAGAGCAATGCTCCCTGCTTGAACAACCAACAATCAATAATGAAAATGTAGATGTTTTGTCTGCCTGTTTAATAATTGATGACAACAGTATACTTTAGTTAAAAAGCTTCTTCATTAAAAGGAATGTAACTTATTTATCTTATTCTCTTTTCTCTTTCCTTGCTGATGGTATTACCCTCAACCCTCCTCCATTAGGAGCTTTGGAATTGAAATCTAAAGGATATTGTCATTTCCTTTTCTATGACATTTTCTGTTGGGTTGTAAATATATAATGATCCAATTACAGGGGTCTTCTCTAATGACTGATCATAATGCTGAGTTTATTCTTTATAAATATGCTATAAATAACTGGATATCTATTTAAAAACTAATATCAGCATGAACATTATAAATCAAAACACTCCATACCTTGGGCAAACACAGCTTGGAAGCTACCACAGTATCTTGGGCCAAGTTTGTTAATAACTTCCAGAGTTTCCACTGAAACGGCTTCTTCAAAGAGGTATGTAGGGCCAACACGCCAAGTTAACAATGACTTTTGTTTCCAAACTCGAGGGGTAGCAATATATCCATAAACATCCACAAATGAAGATGGATCCATTGAGAGGAAAGGTCCTGGTAAGGTCTGAATATACAACATCTGTTGAAATAAAAAGGATGCAGGAGTGAGTAGTGCTTAACCTCAGAATTAATCAAATAAATACAAAGTGACATAATACGATTCACCTTATTTCTTGTCTCACAGGACAAATTCACTTTATTTTTAAAAATTAAAAAATAACTCTCAAATCTGAAAAGTATGCAGCAAAACAACTTGTAAAATGCTGCTGGGAGCAAAAAACTGACACTGTACCTTGAAAACAAATTTGATAAGAAATCTTAAGAGACACAAAAATGTTCACCTTTCTTGTTCCAGTCGTTCTACTAAGAACTTAAGTGTCCAGTATTGACACATTAATTAAGTTTTATGTATGAATAATAATTATAGACATATAGGTTGAAAAGGAAGACATAAAATGGTTTCTATTTGCAGATGACATGTCCATGTAGAAAATTTCAAAGAAACTTAAGACAAAACAAAACAAAATCTCCTAAGACTGGTGACTTCAGCAAGATCACAGGATACATGATCAATACACAAAAATCAGCTCATTTTTATAGACTAACAATAAACAAGCAGAAACTTTAAAAAATACTATTTGCAATTATGCATAATAAAATAAAATAACAAAATAAGTACAGGATCTGTATACTGAAAATTCTAAAATGGTGAAGAAGAGTCAAAGAAGATTTATATAAATGGAGACACATAGCAGGTTCATGGATAGAAAGACTCAATATAGTATAGATGTCATTTTTCTCAAATTGATCAATAGGTATAATACAATTCTTATCAGAATACTAGCAAGGCCTTTTGTAGACATAGACAAGCTATTTCTACGATTTATATGGGAAGGAACAGGTTCTAAATAGTTTAAATAATTCTGAAAAAGAAGAATTAAGTGGGAAGAACTACTCTATGTAATAATAAGACATTATATAGCTATAATAATCAAGACAGTGTGATATTGGTAGAGGAAAAATCACATAGATTGGTGGAAAAGAATAGACAGCATAGAGATAAACATATGTAATTTTGCTTACCTGATTTTTGACAAAGATGAAAAACAATTCAATAGAGAAAGGATAGCCTCTTCAACAAATAGTGCTGAAGCAAATACTCACTATCATGACACAATTGCCTACAGTATTCAATACAATAACATGCTGTACAAATTTACAGCCTGGAAGCCATAGGCAATATCATATAGCCTCATTGTAAAGTAGACTATACCATGTAGGTTTTTGCAAGCACACTCTATAATGTTTACACAATGATGAAGTCGCCTAACAATGCATTTCTCAGAATACATCACCATAGTCAAGCAATGCGTGACTGTATAACACCCTTGAAATGACAACATTTTAGAGTCAAGGTTTCCAGGTTTTGGATCAGGGATAAGGGAGAGAAAGCATGAGAATGAGATGAGTGTGAATATAAAAGAGCAACATAAAAGACTCTTATGGTGATAGAACTTTTATATCTTGATTCTAATGGTGGATAAGCAAACCTATATATGAGATAATATTGCAGAAATGAAATACACACCAGTACAAATAAAATTGGAAAAATCTGAATAAACAGGCAGATTGTATGTCAATATATTGATTGTTATATTGTTCTATAGCTCTACAAGACGTTACTATTGGAGGAAACTAGGTTAAGTATACACAAGATTTCTATTATTTCTTACAACTAAATGTTGACCTACAATTATCTCAACAAAACATAATTAAAAGAAGATGTCAATGGATTGTCACAAATTTTAAAATAATGATGATTTCAGTGTGTGGGTAAAAAACTTTAATGGGAGGTTAAGTGAACTAAGTGGTATCCAAATTTTTTTATACAGTGAGGCCATACTATTTTTTTAAAAGGGAAAAACTGAAAGAAACTAAAACTATAATAAAGTAGCAAGAGTATGAATAATCTTTCTTCTTTTCTCTATATTTCAGTTATTTCAAAATGTGTTTATATTTTGAATATTTTCATAATGACTATAAAATCACTAAATATATGAATATGTATATAAATATATACAGTATGTCCTGTATATCTGTGGGTTCCATATCCAAGGATCCAACCAATCATGTATGAAAAATATTTGAAAAAAATAAAAAATAACAACAGTAATAAAAAATACACAAATTTTAAAATACAATATAACAACTACTTATATAGCATTTACATTGTCGTAGATATTATAAGTAATCTAGAGATAATTTACACATATAGAAGGATGTGGGTATGTATAGATGCAAATACTATACAACTTTATATAAGTGACTTGAGTATCCATGGATATCCATGGGTACCCTCAAATGGTCCTGGAACCAATCCCTGGAGGTTACTGAGGGATAAGGACTACTGTATTTTTTTTTTTAAATAAGAGCTTACATAATTTCAGAAATTTTTTTTCCCTGACAATTCAATAATATATTTTTTAAAAATTTGTTCAGGCACCAAGCCCTGCCAAGATTACTGTCTGTTGTACTCCTTCCACCATCCTCCCAGGCACAGACTCCTCCTCTCTCTCCCATCTGAAGCTCCGCCTACCCTTCCAATCCATCATGCTGCCTTCTTCCATAATTTCTAGTGTTTACTCACTACCCTATTCATGTTAACTTGAAAACTTCCGATGTCTCAAATTGTTCCCAAATCATTTTTGTAAACTCAGTCTGTTAATATACTCCTTGTCTTTCCCAAGTTAACCTTCCCTGGGCAATAAAAATAAAGACTCAACATTTTGAGAACAATTAAACTGAGTCCTCTCCCATCTGAGCTCTCCCATGTTACTCTTGCCTAATAGATGTTTGCAACAAAACATATACTTATCCCAGCTAAATTTCACTGGCTATTCCTGACCCAACTTGTTGAGATCATCTTCTAATGTGGACTGTCAACCTTAGCCTCGGCCCTTCCCATTCCCCCATAGCATCACACCACTTCCAACCTCCCTTTGATTAGTCAGTCCCATGAAGAGCATGCTCACCCAACTACATTATCAGCCCCATCCCAGTTTCCTCCTTGTAACTGTAAATTCAATTCAGCAAGCATGTATTGTATGCCCACTGTGTTAGCCCCTGTGCTAAGTTTCAGGAAAGTACAAGTATCAGTAAAACATGCTTCAAGGTGTACGAAGTATTTCACAGAATATCAAAATATTCTGTGAAAGAAGACAAAAATAAGCCAATTAGTAGTCAAGCCTGAACAGATTTAAAAAAAAACAAAAACGAAACAAAGACACTGCAACTACAAAAGTGACCACACATCTGATCCTGGCTTATGGGAGGGACTATTGCTTCTTCTTCAATGACAAGTCCATCCCTGCTCCATGTCTCTACCTCCTGGGTAAGATGCACAGTCACCAAATTGTTCCTCTTCCTGACAGCACCCAGTTAATAATAGACCAATTGATCTGGAGCCTGGGTTGAGATGCTTTCTCTGGAACCTGAGTGAAAAAACCAGCTGTATCTGCCCTCTGTGGTCTTCCCGGCCTTCCCCGCTCTGACTACCTCAGAGACCTCTGACAGCAGCTGCTGGCTCTTGCTTGTCAGTTCCAAAAATCATCTAAAATAAGCCCAAATTCTATAATAAGCCACTATACTTATTACCCCCATGGGGTAAGGATTCTTTTGCTCTAGCAAGCTTAAATTTAACTTTGTTTTATACTATATGCACGTATCTGGAGGTCTTTGGTTGGTAGGAATAGACCATTCCTAGCACCTAAAACATTACCTAACACATAGTAGGCGCTTAACTAATATTTAATGAGAAAAATAAGGAAGGGAGGAAAGAAAGAAGAATGGGAGACTGATATAGCTAATGATTGGAGATAAGGTTAACTTTATGTTTAGGATAGCCTATTTATCTTATACTCTTGCCAAAATCTTTTCAGTTACTACTGTCATTTTTTGGAGGGGGGCGGGTAAGAGAATTTTACCAGAAAATAGTGTCAAATTCATCTTTAGGGTCTCTATAGAATTGAGGTTGTTCTAACCTAATGATTATCAAACTGGGACAATTTTGGCAATGTCTGAAGATGTTTTGGGTGATCACAACTGGATGATCAAGGGAATTCTATGGCAGTTGGGGGTCCAGGAAGGTTGCTAACCATCCAAATATGCACAGAGTAGGCCCCCACAACAAAGAATTATTCAGTCCCAAATATCAGTACTGCCCAAATTAAGAAGCCCTGTGAACTTAAGGTTCTCCATTCTGGCTGTATATTAGAATCACCTGGGAAATTTTGAAAACGTTACTGAACTTTCAAATTATCTAACCCACAGAGATTCTAATATAATTGATCTGGAGCCTGGGTTGAGATGCTTTCTCTGGAACCTGAGTGAAAAAACCAGCTGTATCTGCCCTCTGTGGTCTTCCCGGCCCTCCCCGCTCTGGCTACCTCAGAGACCTCTGACAGCAGCTGCTGGCTCATGCTTGTCAGTTCCATCTTCTCCCAGCTTCCTCTCCCCTGTACCTCAGGCATCACTAAATGACGGTGATGAGAAGCTTCCCCCAGTTATGTGTTCACATTCTGTGACCTTCCTCATCGTTCCTGCTCTAAATCTGGCAACATGTGTTGGTGTATTACAAGCTCTAATGCCTTGTTCCCAAGTGTAGTATGAATATCAGCTGTGCTGGCCTCACCCAGAAGCTTTTTGGAAAAGTTGGGCCTTATGTCTGTCCAGACCTCCCTGGGAAATTTTTCCCTTAAAAGGTGAGAATCATTGCCTTGTTCATTCTAAACATTTCTATCTCCATAAATATAACTATTCTTATAGGTCTAGCCCTGTGTCTTGCCTTCTTCCCTGGTTCCTTTGGTGTATTTTCTAAAGATGTCCTTTTTCATGCCTGAGCTTGGACAAGTATCCTGGACAACAAGGGGGCTTTCACTAGATGACAACTCCACCAGCAAACAAACAAACAAACAAAAAACACAGAACAGAACTGAAGCCACTCCAGGGTAATATGATGAGAGACAGGGTCATGCAACAAGTGCAACTCAGAGGGATCATCTCACCTTGGCTGAGCCAATGACCTGCCCATCCAGATAGGTGGAAACGGTACAGTTTCTTTTCATTTCTTTAGTGACAACCACAGCCAAGTGGTGCCACTGACCACAAGTCAGGAGCTGGCCACACCTGACCTGAAGCTGGCGTCCTGCTGAGGGCTCAGAGTCATCCTCAGGTTCCATGACATCTGGAAGATAGCACAAACACTGGACCTCACATGCAATGTCATGCTGTAGAGACCCAGGAGAGTTGGGGTGAGGCAGAGGGGAGAATATCAACCAATATGGGTCTTATATTTATAGAGCCAGGGCCTGGTCCCTCCTCTCTTAAAAGATGATAATAGCAGCTATCATTCCTTGAGCTCTTACTTTGTGACAGACACTGTTTTAAGCACTGTTACAAATACCAACTCATTTAATTTTCACAACAACCCTGTGAGGTAGGTGCTATCATTATTCTCATTTTACCATCCTGAGGCACAGAAAGGTTAGGTAACTTTCCCAAGCTCATGCAGCCAGGATTTAAAACTCAGAGCCAGTCCCTGGCTCTACCCCACATTAGACTATTTCTACAGTGACACCATTTGCAGGCCAAGTCCTAGAGGAAGGAGGAGCAGTAAGGGAATAGGCACTCATGTGTGAGGACGTCAGTCACTCTGTGGGCCTTCCAGGTGGCTCTCAGGATACACAAGAGAAATGGATGCCTGGGATATGCTGGCCTTGGCTATTTCAGGCAGATGAGCTGAGCTCCAAAGGGCAGAGCGAGGACCACCACCATCACTGTTGATGGAAAGGTGGACTCTCAGGTACCTGGGACCAGTGACCTGTCAGGCAAAGTACCTCCGGGTCTGGGGCATATGTGAGCATTTCTGAGGCTGCTTAAGCTCTGAGTTGTATTCTTCACAGACCTTGCTCAGGAGATAATGCAGTGTGTGTGGCAGGGAGGCAAAGCCCCAAGTACCATCATGACCACTCTGCCAAAGCAGAGTTTCTGGAAAGCCACTGAGTATAACCTCTGAAACCACACCAAGGACTGATACCTCGTCTTTCTGACAGTGATAACCTCAAAGCCCAGGCCATAGTGGCATACAACAAGTATTTTATGCCTATCACCAGGTGGATTTTCAAAAGATAAGGAAAAGCAGGTACCTAATGTTACTAACAGTACCTGTGTCAAGAGCTTCTCACTAAGCACCGTTTTCCCCAAGTGTAGGTGCCACAAGCTATGGACCCCAGCACCTTACCCAGGGGCTGAAACTCTTTCTCTTCTGTAGACACAACCAAGGAGAGGTCATCCGGGCAGAGGCTGACAGAAAAGCAGATGAAAGGTTGCTCGGTCCTGGCCAAGTGGCGTACCAGGGTTAGGAAGTGCAGTGGATGGCCATCAGTGACAGCCGCAAGCCGACTGATCATGAACCAGCAGGAGAAAGTCAGGCCCCCGGGTGGAGGGAATGATCTGGCAGCACCTGGAATTGGAACACAAGAGTACCTTAAGCTTTGTTCTGCCTAAGGACGCATGTTTAGGCTCACTAGGGCTCTGGTTCAGCTCAGACATTAGCACCTGCTACATGCCTTGCCTAAGTCACCAATGGTCTTCTCCCTATTATGGCATGTTGCCTTGCCAAGGAAGGAGGGAGGGTGTCAATCTCCTTGAGATCTGCCATGTGGATCCTAGTTCCACTGGTCTAAAACCAGACAGTGTGCTCCATGGGACAGAGGACATTGGTCTAGCTAAACTGAACCTGGGATTGGGAAGAATTCCACTCTGAGGATACTGCATGCCCTCCCATTCCTTAACAGGTTAACAGGGTTGGTGATACAGACAGGGCCACTGTCCTCAGGGAATGAGCAGGATCAGTGGCTGTGTCCACATACTTAATGTCAAACTCATACGGAAAGAGGCTTGCCCTGTGACGATGGGCCACGAAGGCAATGGCTCTGTAGCACCCTCTCCCATAGAAACCCAGACCTGATTCTCCTAGTAGAGGGTGACTGGCTCAGGCAGCACAGGGCAGGTCTTGCCCAGCAGGTTTTCAGGTGAGCACAGTGCTGTGCAAATGCATGCAAGGCCCCAGTCTGTCACCACAGAAGCCATTTGCCAAGGACTGGTTTGTCTTGATGGTCATTAGCACAGAACTCTTATTCCTCTCTAGGGAAAGCTATAAGTCAGGTGATGTGTCCCTGTCAGCCTACATCAACCACCAACAAAATGAATCCAACCCAGGCTCAGTCCATCAATGGCAGCAGAGCCCCTAGCCATGGGCTGGGTGCTTGAGATGCACAATAAACAGGTCATCTGGCTCTAAGAGAGCCATGAACAAATGTAATAGTGAAGGATGGCTCATCTACAGATATTCAGGACCAAATTCTCACACTTTCTTGAGATGCCAAATAAAATATGCAATCAAAGCTAACTAAGGACTTATTCTTGGGTGGGATGGGGAATTAAACCATCTGGGAAACACCTACCTGTCCCAATCCCTCCAGAGATGGAGTATTCAGTACTGGCTCCCATAACCGTAGACAGGGTCGGAATAAACAAACAACTGAAAACAGGAAAGTGTCACGTGTTATTGATTGCAAGCCAATCCCCCGCTTTAACACTGCTAGTCTGGACCATGTCATCTCCCCTCTCTGTTCTACTGCAGGGACTGCACCTCCTCTTAGATCACAAGGCCCAAGGTCAGAATGTAGCTGGTGCTGGTTGAATGTCCTAAGAGGAAAAATCACATGGTAGGTAGGCCAGAATGCAGCCACACCAGGTAAAAGAGAGAACCCTGACCCTCCATGTCTGGGGACACTTCCCCTTTGAGGTCACATAGTAAGCAGGCATCCGTGACCAAGACATGTTCCTCTGCTGGGTGATGAGAGCCAATTGGAACTACCATTCTGCAATGAATATTATAATTCATCAGAGGCACTTGGAAATTAATAAATTTTATTGCACATAGATGAAAGCCTGCCGTACCCATAACCTTCCACAGACATGTCAAATTCCACAAAAGACGGAGCCAAGGCTGCCCTCTGAGGCTGCAGGTTTCGTGGGGAAGTCATGGAGATGAGACTCAGTGCTGTCTGAAGGGCAGTGGTTGAACCCTGAGACACCCCCGAGAGCCTCAGGGCCTGTTGAACTCCCAGGTGTGGGCTGACATCTGGGGCAGCTCCACAAGGTCCTTCAGCCACTCCTGGTGCTGCAGTCTGTGATCCTAAGGTGGCAAACAAGAGAAGAAACATGTCTGCTCAAAGCATTTTTGCTTCACTTCTGACAATAGCCCCAAAGTACTTGCCACAGCCCCAATGAAAGGTTCCATAGAGTCACCAGGCACATGCTAACCACTAATGAAGGTAGCTCTTGGGCCCCTAAAATGAGCCCTGAGCGCAAGGATTTGGTAACAGGAAACAGTAGTGCTAACCTGCTCCACCTAGCAACTTCTCTCTTGAGTTCCAGCATACTTCCCCTTTCTAACACAGCATTTTCTGTCACTGTCTCCGGGTTGCCCCATGGGAGTTACTCCCTGGGACTTTCACCCTACTCACTGACCTTCACACTCTCCTCTCCTTCAAAATAGTCTATCTCCTTGAAAGCTCTTGGCTCCCACCTCTGGCTGCCTGTCCCAAGCCTGACTCTCCATCCTTGCTTCTCAACTGGCCCTTCTTCTTACCCTAACATCCTATGTGATCTTACATTCGAGGTGTCCATGACTTTCTTTTCTCTAATCTGGACAATCATCCCCAAAGGCCCCAGGCCTAATAAGGGCGCATCACCTGTATCTTGGTCCTCCTGATGCCCTAACTCACCCCCAAACTGTGAGATGTGCAGAAGCCTTTGCTACACAACTCTGACTAGCCAGGAACTGCTATGTCAAGAAGGGAACTTTATGATTGTTTCTATGATCTGGGCCCAAAGGGGCACCTATCTTATGGGGAGTGTCACCCTTCCCCTTCCAGATTTGATCTTTCTCCAGGGACCACTGATTCCTATGCTTTTCCTCATTTGCCCCATTGAACAGAGGCAAAACCATTTTTCAGTCTGTCTGCTTTCCCACCTGTTGTAAACAATCCCTCACCAGGAATGCATATTCTCTTTTAATTTCCATTAACTACTGGATTAAAAATATGTGGTACATATACACGATGGAATACTATGCGGCCATAAAAAAGAACAAAATCATGAATTTCACAGCAACCTGGATGGAACTGAGTCTATAATACTGAATGACCTCTCACAGAAACAAAGATTCGAGTATCACATGTTCTCACCCATATAATGGACATTGGACATCCAGTGTAATACTATAAGAAAATGACTGACAGTACTGGGAAACTATGGGGGGGGATGGAATTAACAGTAGCAAATATCTGTCTGGGGATGGGAAAGCACCTCTTATCAACAGGGTGCCTGAATGAAACGTAATTGTACACCTAACCCTTAACTGTACTCCACAAAACCATAATAAAAAATATTGATTATAAAAAAAAATTTCCATTAACCTGCCCTATACTCTGGTTTCTCTTCAGATCATATAAATCTTTCGCCTTTTAACATGTCCTGTGTTTTCCTTTGTCCTCACCTGAGCATCCTGAGTTGCTTCTGTGCAAATGAGACGCATTGAGGATTTTCATTGCAGATGACAGAGGTGGGGGAATTCCAAGACCTAGAAACTGTCTGAATATAACAAGCAACAGAACCAAATGAAGAAATTTTACAGGCAAATTTTTCTCCAGTTTCATTCTGACCATTTTCCCAAATAGCCAGTGCTCCCTGATCCTTGCCCATCTCTCTGCCTGAAACACTCTTTTTCAAAAGCTGGGTAGAGACAGGGGCATCTCTGTCTTGCCACTCATACCAAAGAACTGGTGAGTTTAGGGGACTCAATCCAGACCTGGTAAAGAAAATAAATTTGTCAGAAAATAACTGTCATAATCGCTTATAAGTTTCGATGGAATTTCCCATTTCTCACACAGTGCTATAAGCATGATGGCTTCCTCTGGTGCTCACATTCCAGATTCCTAGCCCCATGTCCACTGACTGGAGGGTGTTGTGTTGTGCCCCCTCTGCACTTGCTCCTGTGAATGAGCGGGGGGCGGGGAGGTACATCTGGCAGTGTGTGGCCCTCAGCAGTGTGCAGGGCAGCATAAAAGGCTCTTGCACTCCTCCTGTGACCTTCCTTCCTCCCCTCTGCCTTCTTGCCATCTGTGTCTCCTCCTCACATACCCCCGTGCATCTTCCCTCCCTGCTGTGGTGCTCCAGGAATATGGCTTCATGGAGGGACTGCCAGCAGGAAAACCGCTCCCTCCCCAGGATACAGTGTGGTACTGCCCCATCCCCTCCATGCCACTGGCTCCCTGCAGGCTAGTCTCTCTGACCATGGTCAGGCCCTCTAAGCCCCACCTCTCCCAGCAGAGCCTTTCCTGCCCAGTTCTCTCCTCTCCTTGTCTCGTGAACTTAGCTCCAACTTTGTTTCCTTGAAGCCCCCTCCACCCACCCTGTGCACCTTGGGAGGAGGCTATGTCTACTTTGTGGGCACCCACACGCTGCCCAGCACAGACCTGAGGCTCATCCATGGACTTCTTGTGTTGAATGTAGAGACAGGACCATGCGCCCGCAGGAGGTTGGGAAGCGGGTATCGGGACTCCTATCCCTGCAGACTCTCTACCGCCCACTGTGTACCCCTTGCCCTGTAACAGGCATAGCTGCCTGACTTGGCAGTGTTTAATACACAGCACACAATACCTTAATACATCCGGCTCGATGGCTTGGGAAGCAAGCTTTTCAAAAATCCTGATGAGGCGTGAGTGTAGAGGGTTGCTGCAGATGGTCATGACCTTGTGGCAGGAAGTCATGAGGGTCCCAAGCATCCCTGCCTCACACATGACCTGGCGGTTCTTCTCTGATTTCACCAGGGACTGAATGTGATTGGCCAGGGAGCACTGGATCTCTTCAGAAAGCTAAGAGGTGACCAAAGATAGCTGTGAGCCCTGAAGGATAGAACATCTTGTGGGCAACATTGATTGGTCTGGGATTGGTTGTGGGACAAGGAGACTGTGCCCACTCTAACCCGTGCCCACTGTGCCCCCACCTGTCTCAGATGTTCTTTCACATGCCCTCCTCCCCTACAGGACAGGCACAGGGAGGCCAGCCCATGGTAGGACGTGAGCTGCTGGGATCAATGCAATTCACACTTCAAAGCCTTCTCCCTCGGTGGGCTTGGACTGAAGCCAGACTTTGGTTTGCAGAGCATCCTTGCTCAGCAACTTCCCCTTGCCACCTGCTTCCCTCACTCCCTTTCTTCTGAGTCCCTACCATGATAAATCCCATGTCCCTGTACTCCTTCCTGTCTTGGGCTCTACTTCCAGGGAAACCAACCTGAGACACTAAAATTATTTTTATATTTTATGACTTTGTCTTAGTTTGTGGTTTCAAGAAAAAAGTTCTATGATAATATCTAGTCCAGGAGTTCTCTTCCTGTTACGCACACTCCCCTATAAAAGCTTTCTTGGAGTTCTTCCTGCTTCCTTTCTTTTTGTATATGAATTATGCAATCCCTGTGAGAAGTCTATGAGGGAGGTACTATTATCATCCCAATTGTACAGATGAGGAAATTGAGCCCAGAGCAGTTCATGGCCCACGGTCATGTGGTAAGGACAGAAACTGACCCCAAACCTCTGGGTCATTTCAGTCCACAATTTCCTTTCCACATGGACAGACATTTGAGGGGCTCCCTGCTCAGAGATGGTCATGGAAATGATTTTATCACTAAAAGAAATAAATAAGATAGTGATCTTCCACATGCTGCTAACACAGCTCTGTAGTATATACACTTCAAGGATTAAAATGTATGGGGAAACATATTTATACTGTTTATCATAAGTTTCTAGATTTTTAAAAAATTGAGTGAGGTACACAGCTCACCCTCACATCTTTCCTTCTGCCCTCCAGACACACGGCCCTCGTGGCTCCTGCCTCAAAGTGATGACACTCAGCAAAATTCCCATCTCTAAGACATCTTCAGCAACATTTTTAGTTTAAAATTGGGTGAAGGACAAAACTACATTAGATTGATTTTTCAGGGTGATGTCCCTCCCAGACAGGATTTGTCATTCTGAAATGTCACCATTTTGCCAATATTGCCGTTTGAGCACACAGTATCACTGATGTTGAGGAGAGGTCTCACTTGGAAGAGACAGTCCTTTCCCTGTCACTGTGGTGTCTACACAGTCAGCCTAAGCTGGCAGATGGACATGTATAGTCTAACAGGACCAGAAATTAAAAATGCTAAAAATAATGTGCACTAAACTATTCCAATTCCATCACTTTCACTCTTCCATGTGAAAATCCACCTGAACTTATTGACTCCTTTCTCAGGCCCTGCTTCTGATGCTCCAACTGTCCCTTCCCTTATATACCCAAACTCCTGCCTCTGCCTCCCTTTTCTCTTCAAAAAAAGGAGGATCATCTATCCTCTCGCCTTGAACATCCTGTATCCTGTCTCCTAAAACTTGGATTATTTTATTTGGTAACTGTTCTCTTTCAATTTAGAGTGACAGTTGGGAAGCAATCAGTATGAACTAAAATGCAAAAATAGCATTATAATGTATTATTAATAAGAATTAAAAAGAAACATCTACAATCTTCAGTTTTTATTACCAGCACTTCACTTATTGTTGTGGGGACTTTTGGTTTTTTGTTTGTTTGTTTGTTTGTTGGGTTTGTTTGGGTTTTTTGTTTTTTGGGTTTTTTTTGGTTTTGCTTTTTCCTACAATAGCAGAAATGCTTAAAATCTAAATATGCAAAAAAGAAAGAAAATAAAAAGTTTTCAAAAGAGAGAAATGCTGATCTTGTCTAATGATGCCGCAAGTTTACTCCAAAATTGCTCAATATCCCATAATGGAGGAGGGAAAATTGATCGTCCTCATTATCACTACAACTCTGTCAATACCAATTTTGCCTTGTTTTGAATAAAATGTGCTGTTTTTTTCAATGTTGGTTCCAGTAAAATGGGGTTTTAGAGAAAATATGAGCAGTAGCAGGAAACCAGTCTGGTTTCTCCCCCTACAAATGGATTGATTTTCCTAACGCATATTACTTCCAATGCAGAAAGGGGCTGTGGTTCAATTAGGAATCAGTGGTAAGAGCACAGGGTCACCAGGCTGGCTGGCAGGCTGGACCCGCAAGGTAAATTATCACAGAACCATTTGCGGGGCAGCCTTCAGGAGTTTTCTGCTTTCTCCACTTAACGGTCTAGCCTTCAAGCCCACCCTTGTCCCGCTGTGGATGTTTATTCTTATTTATCTTTCTCTCTGCCCCATTTTCTCTTCTGGTCTAAATTAATATGCTCCCAAAGTATAGTAAAGGCTGGATCCTGATGTGGTAGGTCCCTCCCAACAGGTTTGGCATTAGGTATATCAGTCCCTGATGTATATGTCTTCTATACACTTGCCACATTGTATTGACAAAGAAGTAAAAACCATCAGATGCCAGTGTATGCTTCCCCCAGACACTCTCAAACAGCCAGGGACTTGACTGAGTTACTCAAATTTGGATTAGTTGCTTGTTCCAATTTGGTTGGAATGTTCTTTATTTGATGATTTTGGAAGACAGATGATAGACTTTAAGTGACCCCAGTTCTTTAAGTTATCAAAGACTGATAATAGGATGCCAGTGATAAATAAGGCCCACAGATGTGCTTTACTTGATTAAGTTGTTGTGTTTTCTCCCCATTCCTTACTTAGAATTAGTTTTCTCTTTACACAGGTATGAACTTTCCCCTTCATTTGTGGTGCCAGTATAGCCTTGAAGGCTTGGGAGTTTGTAATTTTGGGTTAGGTATAAGAGATTTCAACCCCCATGAAATCAGCAGAATCCATGTCTAAAGGGCCTTGTTTTCTCAATGCACTTGGACAAATTTGTTTTGTTTTATTTTTGAATTGGAGTCTCACTCTGTCACCCAGGCTGGAGTGCAGTGGCACAGTCATGGCCACCCCAGCATCGACCTGCTGGGCTCTGATGATCCTTCTGCCTTAGCCTTCCAGTTAGCTGGAACTACAGGTATACACTGCCATGCCTGGCTATTTCTTTTAAAAATTATATCTATTGTAGAGACATGGTCTCACCAAGTTGCCCTGGCTTGTCTCGAACCCATGGGCTCAGGCAATCCACTCACCTTGGCCTCTCAAAATGCTGGGATTGCAGGTTAAGCCACCGAGCCGGGTCCAGATTTATAACTTAGACTAACACGCATGTAGATGGGTGGGTGGGTGTCTGCTCCAAATCTGCTTCTTTTACAAATTACATACAGATGATGGCCAATGCATCCTGGTAACAGAAGCCTAGTATCTCACACTTATAAAGTATTTCTTTCTTCCAACTCTACTTCCTATTCTCCCCTTTTGTCCACCCTGTACTCCAGTCTTAGTGACACCCCCACTGTTTGCTGAATGTATCATGCTTTTTCCACTGATGCCCAAAGTTGGGAATGTCCTTTCCAATTCCATTCCTTTTCTGAGCTCCTACTTATTGCTTGATAGACAACTCATGTGTTCTCTCATCCAAGAAACTTTTACTGACTTTCCCAACCAGTGTGGTGTCCACACTTCAGTTATGACAAATAGCACCCTGTGGCTGGCTCACACTCTACCTGTCTCCCTCACTCTTCTCCTCCCATCCCCCAAAACACTGGGAGCTGCTGTCTGAGACAGTGACGCTTCCCTCTCATTTCTCTAGTGCCTATCTCTGCCTCAAACATAATAGCTACCTGGTAAGTGCAAACACCAAACAGTCTAGAACACAGCAGGCATAGATAGTCAGAAAAGGTGATGTTTCAATTAAGTGTTGAAGCATAATGAAGAAAGAGTTGGGCTGGCAGGGAAAATGGTCTTTCTAGGAGAGGGAACAGCAGCTGCAAAGGCCAGGGAGTGAGAGTGAACACCGCCTTTCAGGAAAGATTGGGAATCATGTTGCAGAGTTGCAACATTAGGGCCCTTGGGTGTCGTGCAAAGGAGCTTGCTCTTCTGCCTGCCAGGTTGTCCCACCCCAGGTCATGAAGCATCCCAGACTGCGCATGGAGCCCTGAGCTCCTTAGATCATTGGTCCTGGAGGGCTAGGAAGATTAATGACCCAGCACTGAACTTGCTCCTGACAGCTGCTTGGAGACTCAGCCACTCCTAATGCAGCTGATCTGAGAAGGCCCCAAGTCTCTGCAGCCTTCTCTACCAGATGTCCTAGATCACAGTTCTGCCCTCTGATTTTTGTACCCCATGCCAGCCTCTTGTCTCAGGCTTCCCAGGCTCAGCCTGACCCAAATCAACACCCAAACACCCACTCCAGGCCCTGAGCCCAGCTTGGGAATGAAGATTTGCAGCTCCAGCATGTCTCCCTTTGGAGAGAGCATGGCTGCCAGAGCTCTAACTTTTCCAACCACCCAGATTCTATTCAAAATCCAAGTGATTCCTCACAGCCAAGTCTCAACTTCCTGGGGGCCCTATGAGTGGCTGTACCCCAGCTCAGAGTCTGATCACTCAGTTGGTCTGCAGCTGTTGTTGGGTTCACCCAACCCCCAAAAAGTGAAGTTTGTCATACGGTGTCCTCACTTTGCTTGGGACTATTACTGACCTTGCTTTAAAACCATTAGGACTCAACCGGGCTCGGTGGCTCAGCCTGTAATCCCGCGCCTTTGGGAGGCTGAGGTGAGTGGATTGCCTGAACCCACAGGTTCGAGACCCGCCTGGGTAGCGAGACCTCATCTCTACAATAAATCAAAAAATCAGCCGGGCATGGTAGTGCATGCCTGTAATTCCAACTACTTGGAAGGCTGAGGCAGAAGGATCGCCGGAGCCCAGCAGGTCGAGGCTGCGGTGGCCAGGAGCAGCCACTGCACTCCAGTCTGAGCGACTGAGTGAGACTCTAACTCAAAAAAACAAACAAACAAACAAAAAATCACTAGGACTCA